TGGAGTGCAGTGGCGCGATCTCAGCTCACTGCAACCTCCGCCTCCTGGGTTCAAGCAATTCTCCTGCCTCAGCCTCCCAAGTAGCTTGGATTACAGACATGCGCCACCACGTCTGGCTAATTTTTGTATTTTTATTAATAGTAGAGACACGGTTTCACCATGTTGGCCTGGCTGGTCTCTAACTCCTGACCTCAAGTGATCCACCCGCCTGGCCTCCCAAAGTGCTGTGATTAGAGGCGTGAGCCACTGCACCCGGCTGAATGTTCTAGCATTCTATCTCTTCACTTCTTACTGAACAAAGGAGGCATTATCTGACCAACATGACTGGATGGTGCTCTGCCACTACTTATGTCTGTTCCTTCTCCCTTTCCTGGCCCTGAAGCCCAGCAGAGGGATCCTTCCCACCAACTCCTTCTGTTCTTCTGGAGCTTCTTTTGGAGTCTGGGGCTGGTGTTCCTGCTCAGACACCTGGACTCAGGCCAGTGTCTCTCCTTCCCGCAGGCCTGGGGATGGATTGTGCAAAACGGTACTATGCCTTGGAGCGAGAGGTTAGTTCACAACCTAGTTATTAATTACTCACTTGCTTTTTTATCTTGAGCATTGCATCAGGACCGTGAGAATGACTTTATAGCCACTTGAAGTAGGTAGTATCAGCTTCTTGCTCCTCCCTCAACCCCAAAGGTCCAGATACAGTAGTAAATCCTGCCAAAAGTTACTGGAATCCCAGCCATCCCACACAACTCCTAGCACATTCAGGACATCCATTCCAGAATGGGAAAAGCTACTCAGCCAGGAGGACCCCCATCATCAGAGCCCTGCAGTGGGGCCTCCATATGCCATCTCACCCATCTATCATATTCAGGCTGTATTGCACTGGATTCAGTTGTGGGGACATTTAGGGAGGAGAAGGTAGAGATTTTACACCTTGCCTCAGATGCCCTGGGAAGTCCCTCCCCTAGTGTGATTCCCATCCGTCTTGCTGCAGTTCTAGTATTTTTCCCCTTGTTTGGGGCTCCTTGTCACTGGTTGAATAAATACTGTGAGCACACTTAATGGTGGGTGTAGCAGACTCCTCCTCCTTTTATTCCTATCTCGAAGTCAGAGAGTCAGCCCTACAGGGGAGAATGGGAATGAGACCTCTCGGCCTCTCCCCTTGCGCCCTCCTGCCCCTTGTTTGACCCTTTTATATTCCCCACTCTGAAGATTGTGGAGTCACAGCCGGCAACCAAATCCCTTTTGAGCTCCTCAGCCTCCTGATCTGGGCTCTGTCTGAGCCTGCTGCTGCCGCCGTAACACACTGCTGAGGTGCAGATCTAATTTAGTGACAGCCAAGCCCTCTCCTCTGCTGCCCGACAGAGAATTCAGGGCTCTCAGAGCACACCCAGCTGATGGGGCCTCAGCTCTCATTCTTCAGAGATGCCACCTTAGGCAAGTCACTTGACCTCAGTTTCCCCATCTGTAAAAGGAGGTGGCACCTGCCCACCTTAGAGGTACTTGTGAGAATCAAGCCTGACGATGTTTATTAAAGTACTTAGTAAAGCCCTTAAGTATAGCACAGAAATAAGTAATTATCTTTCACCATCACCAGCCAACTGGCCTCAAAAACTCAGTTCAGAACTTCCCCCACTCCACCCTGCTTCCTTAGATTTATCCCACTTAACGCGAATCATTTTTACCCTCTGGAGTTGGTTTGCAGCCTTGAGATTTTTGCATTTGCTGCCATGTTGCTGGGTCATGTTTGTGTACAACTTTCTATTTTCCAGAGAAGACTGTCATCTCCACAAGGACAGAAACTGTATCTTATATGGTCTTCTCCATTGCCACACAGCATCACATTTAGGATTCTATACAGACAGAAGAATGAACAAACATTCATTGTGACCAAGTAAGGTGGCTCCCATGCCTGTAATCCCAGCACTTTGGGAAGCTGAAGAGGATCGCTTAAGGTCAGGAGTTCAAGACAGCCTGGGAGACATAGTGAGTCCTTGTCTCCACAAAAAAATTTTAAAAATTTGTCAGGCATAGTGGCACACACTTGTGGTCCCAGCTACTTGGGAGCCTGAGGCAGGAGAATCACTTGAGCTGTGATCGCACCATTGCACTCCAGCCCGGGCAACAGAGTAAGACCCTGTTTCAAAGAAGAAAAAAAAGCTTTCTGCATTTAAAAAAAAAAAAAAAGAAGCTCAGAAGTTAAATGACTTACTCACAGGCATAAGGTTACTAGATCCTAGCACTGAGCCTGATTTGTAATTGTTATTTCCTTAAATGGTCATCGAATGAGAGATGAATGAATGCATGCGTGGTACATGGCACTGGGTCTGTCTGGTTCCAGAGCACACAGTTTCTCCACTGTAGCACACAGCCTCTCAGTGATTTTAGCTGGGGAAAGATGTCCATGGGAGATGTGGAGCTGGCAGAGCTCTGTCGCCTCTGGCTGTCCCTCCCCAGTCTCAAACTCCACCCTGTAGTTAGCATCTCAGGCATCTGAGCTTGGGAGTAGAATCCCTGGTATTCACAGTGACATAATCACCTCCTCGCTCCAGGCTTTTCAGAAGCCAGTCCAGTTACCTTGGTGTCTTTGCTATTTAGAGATTTATTGGGAGGTTGTCTGGTTCTATCCTGAAACCCTCAGGGGGAAGGAGATAGCATTACCTTTTATGCCTCTGCCTCTCAGCCTTGACTGAGCTCCACCAAGCAGCCTAACCCCAATCCCAATCTGTCCTGTAATTTCCGTTTCTAAAATATGAGCCATCACAGCATTTTGCTGCTGCCTCTAAAACATGAGAGGCTAAGAGACCCAGCTACTTGGGTCTTTGAGAGGAGATTGTGACCGGCTTCATTGGATTTCAGAACTGAAAAGGACCATTGTGTTCATTCGGCCTCACCTCTTACCTGGTGCCTGAAAGTCTCACAATGTCTCCATCATGCTTAATCTCTGCTTAAAGCCACTTGGGACTTGCCCCTTTGGGAAACTCCCTTAGACCTCTTCTTCCCCAACTTGAGCTCTGATCTGGCTTCCGAACTGTCTCCTCTGATGGAGGTTTGCCCTGCGAAGGCATTTCTTTTCAGCGTGGACTTTGCCTGCAGAAGAGCCAATATGTTTCCATGGCAAGAATGGGTTCGGCATTTCCCCACCTCTGCTTTCTGCTCAGCTAAATCTTTCTGCTTTGGAGGCCCTTCTGGTCTCTTCTCTGACTTCCCGTAGGTCTGGGTGGGGAAGGGGAAGACGCAGAAGGAGGTTCAAATTGGGAGGAAAGATCCCTTTACAGAAGTGTTTCTGATGTTCATTTGTCAGGGGGATTTTCCTGAAGAAAGCGCCCTTGAAGGCCATGTTTGTTGCTGTTTCAAAATCTTCCCTGCAGGGGCAACACTCAAATCTGAGCATCACCAGCTGTGTAGTGAGGGGCTCATCTGTCAGCAGCTCCAAGGCTCTGCCAGCTTGTGATGACAGTCAAGGTGGGGCACGGGTGACCTCCAGAATTAGAGGTCACGGTCATTCCTAAGCTTGGGATTTGAGAGGGAAGAAGCAGCTGTCCAACTCTCCTTTCAGTGGTTTTAATTTCGTCCTCCGGTCAGGCGCAGTGGCTCATGCCTGAAATCCCAGCACTTTGGGAGGCAGAGGTGGGAAGATCCCTTGAGTCCCGGAGTTTGAGGCCAGCCTGGGTAACACAGGGAGACCCCATCTCTTTAAAAAAAAAAAAAAAATGTCCTGTCCTCACAAAGTATCCGAAAGCTCAGAGTGCTGGGTGCTGGTTCTTTCTTCACCCCTTTCCAAACTCTGTTCCATCTTACTTCTTTTCACCAGACCCTCCTAAGTGTTTCAGTTAAGGAGGCTCCTGGGGCTGGTTCTCCTGTTCAGTTTCCTGATCTCTCCGTGACTCCAGTCCTTTGGATGGAAGTGGAGTTTAGCAGTCCACACAGGTGAACACCCGCCATGGTGATCTCTCATTCCTCTTGCTTCCTCCTTCCTTCATGTTATTTTATTCCTGCCCTTTAAAAATATTTTTTATTGCTTATTTTATATTTACAAAAGCAATTTTTGATGCACATAGAAGACTTAAAGACTCGAAAAAGTTCTCTTAGCACTCCCTCAAAATTAAAGTCATTCTTCCACTCAAAAAAAAAACAGTATCCGAGCCGGGTGTGGTGGCTCATACTGATAATCCCAGCACTTTAGGAGGCCGAGGTGGGTGGATCACAAGGTCAGGAGTTCAAGACCAGCCTGACCAACAAGGTGAAACCCCATCTCTTACTAAAAATACAAAAATTATCTGGGTGTGGTGGCAGGTATCTCTAATCCTAGCTACTCAAGAGGCTGAGGCTGAGGCAGGAGAATCACTTGAACCCGGGAGGCGGAAGTTGCAGTGAGCCGAAATGGCGCCACTGCATTCCAGCCTGACCAACATGGAGAAACCCCATCTCTACTAAAAATACAAAATTAGCCAGGCATGGTGGTGCATGCATGTAATCCCAGCTGCTCGGGAGGCTGATGCTGGAGAATCGCTTGAATACGGGAGGTGGAGGTTGTGGTGAGAGGAGATTGCACCACTGTACTCCAGCCTGGGCAACAAGAGCAAAAACACCATCTCAAAAAACAAACAAACAAAAAAACAGTATCCACATTGTGGTTATGTCTGTCTTTTCTTATAATATCCTCTCTTTAGAGATATACCTAAACAACTTTTTATCTTGGAATCATTTTAGATTTATGGGAAAACTGCACAGATAATACTAAGTTCCCACATGCCCTTCAACCAGTTTCCCCTAATGTTAACATCTTACGATACCATATTACAATGATCAAAACTGCAAAATTGGCCAGGTGTGGTGGCTCACGCCTGTAATCCCAGCACTTTGGGAGGCTGAGGCAGGTGGATCGCTTGAGGCCACGAGTTCAAGACCAGCCTGGCCAATGTGGCAAAACCATCTCTACTAAAAATACAAAAATTAGTCAGGCATGGTGGCGCATGCCTGTAATCCTACTCAGGAGGCTGAGGCACAAGACTTGCTTGAATCTGGAAGGTGGAGGTTGCAGTGATCCAAGAATATGCCACTGTACTACAGCTTAGGTGACGACAGAGTGAGACTCTGTCTCAAAAAACAAACAACAACAACAAAAAAAACTGAGAAACTGGCCAGGCCTGATGGCTCACATCTGTAATCCCGGCACTTTGGGAGGCCAAGGCAGGAGGATCACTTGAGCCCAGGAGTCTGAAACCAGCCCTGGCAACATAATGAGGCTCCGTTTGTACAAAAAATGCACACCTGTAGTCCCAGCTATTCAGGAGACTTGAGGTGGGAGGATCGCTTGAGCCTAGGAGGTTGAGGCTGCAGTGAGCTATGGTTGTGCCACACCACTACACTCCAGCCTGGGTGACAGAGCAAGACCCTGTCTCAAAAACAAAAACAAAAACAATACTGAGAAATTAACACTGGTGGCACTATTTATTAAACTACAGACTTTATTCAGACTCCACCAGTTTTTCCACTAATATCCCTTTTCTGTTCTAAGATCCAATCTTGTTGCATTCGTATATATATAATTTAAAATAAAACGTATATCCCACTGTACACCATTTTGTTGCTCGCTTTTTCCACTTACTAGTATACCAGAAGGCCAGGCGTGTAATCCCAGCACTTTCGGAGGGATGGGATTCCTGTAATCCCAGCACTTTGGGAGGCTGACATGGGCAGATCATTTGAGGTCAGGAGTTCAAGACCAGCCTGGCCAATATAGAGAAACTCCATCTCTACTAAAAATACAAAACTTAGCTGTCCATGCTCCCTTGAACCCGGGAAGCGGAGGTTGCTGTCAGCTGAGATAGGTCACGATTGTGCCGAAAGCGAGACTCTCTCTCAAAACAAAAAAAACCATAAACATTTCACCAGGCTGTTCAAATTATTATTATTGGGCCAGGCGTGGTGACTCACACCTGTAATCCCAGCACTTTGGGAGGCCAGGGCGGGCAGATCATGAGGTCAGGAAATCGAGACCATCCTGGCTAACAGCTGAAACCCCATTTCTACTAAAAATACAAAAAAAAAGTTAGCTGGGTGTGGTGGCAGGTGCCTGTAGTCCCAGCTACTCGGGAGGCTGAGGCAAGAGAATGGTGTGAACCTGGGAGGTGGAGGTGGCAGTGAGCCAAGATCGTGCCACTGCACTCCAGCCTGGGCAACAGAGCGAGACTCTGTCTCAAAAAAAAAAAAAAATTATTATTTTTCTTGAGGTGGAGTCTCGCTCTCCATCTCAAGAAAAATTGAGTGCAGGCTGGAGTGCAGTGGCACGTTCTTTGCTCACTTCAACCTCCGTCTCCCGGGTTCAAGCAATTCTCCTGCCTCAGCCTCCCAAACAGCTGGGATGACAGGCTCCCGCCACCATGCCTGGCTAATTTTTGTATTTTTAGTAGAGGTGGGGTTTCGCCATGTTGGTCAGACTGCTCTCGAACTCCTGACCTCAAATGATCCACCCACCTCTGCCTCCCAAAGTGCTGGGATTACAGGCGTGAGCCACCATGCCTAGCCTATTAAAATTATTCTATGCCATCATTTTTAATGGCAGCATAGTGTTCCATTGAGTGGATTTGCCATAAGTTGCTTAGCCAATGGCTTATTATTCTACATTTAAATTGTTTCTAATTTTTCACTATTATAAGGAATGATGAGATGAAAAACTCTTCCACACTTCTGATATACACATCTCTGATTATTCTGCCACCAGAGAAATTCCAGAAATGGAATTGCTGTGTCCCGGGGGGCTCATCCCTCCTCCTTCCAAGTCCACAGCCAGGATTTGGCCCTGCTGCTGGCCCTTATGCCTGAAGAGACTGCTCACCCTCATCCTGAGGCAGACAGAGGAAGGAGCACAGAGAGCTCAAAGTGGACCACCGGCCCTGGATGATGGAGATGGCAAGAGACGGGAACAACGAGGGAACGCCAGGTCCTTCATGACCTCTCAGGCTTCCATGAGGCCAACCTGATGCAGCTGGGTATCTTGTCTCTGTGGAATGAGAAGGATGCTTGCTCTTAGCCCAAGGACAATGAGGAGGGGCTGTGTGTGGGGCCAGGGCAGAGACTGCTAATGCATTTTGCCAGCATCTTTGGTTTCTCCAATATCCAGCTAGACTATTAGCAGTTCCCCAAGGATGGCCTTGCTCCTCACGTCATCTCCCATTTCCTATAAATGGGAAGTGGCTGGGGAGTAGAGTGTGTGTGTGTGTGTGTGTGTGTGTGTGTGTGTGTGTGTGTGTGTGTGGTGGGGGAGGGAAGAGAGAGGAAGGGAAGGGGCCGTGGTGGTTTTCCTCCAGCTGACCTCATGGAGAAGTGAGGCCCAGAGAAGTTGTTATTTGCCCAGAATGCCACAGCATCCTAGAGAGTAGTATGGGTTTTCTCTGAGGCTCTGCAGTCACTGGCCAGACTTGCTGAGGGACTGCTGCCTCTGCCTTGTTTCTGGGGCCCAGAGACTGTTTTTTCTGTGTAATCAGGGGCTGTCGGGGAAGTAACTGGCCTGAGGAATTGCCTCGTTTTTTTTTTTAAGACGGAGTCTTGCTCTGTCACCCAGGCTGGTGTGCAGTGGCATGATCTCAGCTCACTGCAACCTCTGCCTCCTAAGTTCAAGCCATTCCCCTGCCTCAGCCTCCCCAGTAGCTGGGATTACAGGTGTGCACCACCACACCCACCAAAGTTTGTATTTTTAGTAGAGACAGGGTTTCACCATGTTGGCCAGGCTGGTCTCAAACTCCTGACCTTGTGATCTGCCCACCTTGGCCTCCCAAAGTGCTGGGATTACAGGTGTGAGCCACCACACCTGGCCAATTGCCTCCATTTTATCTGAAAATGGTACCCATCTCTTGGGTTATCCTAAGGATTCAATGAGTTAATACGCACAAAGTATTTAGAAACAGTGCCTGGCACAATTAGTAATGGTTAACTATTATTATTATAACAAGAGGCTACATCAGCAGAAAGAGGGGGATTTTCAGAGCAGAGAGCCCTACTGTACCCTGTATTGGGTGGGGCCTGGCCAGCGCATCCACCTGGTTTTGTTCGGGGGGTGATTGGGTAGGGCCCAGGATCACCATGGGATCCAGGCTGTGTGCTCACTCCCCTGAGCTCTCCTTCCTCATCCCCTTGTCACAAGGCATAAAGCACAAGGGCCCCTGGAAAGAAGTGGTGGGAGGCAGGAGCAAGAGCGGGGCTGTTACTTGTCTGTGGTGGGACAACTCTCTCATGTTCCCCATGTTCTTTCCCAAGCCCGCAAAATAACACCGTCCACTCTCTCCTGGCTCTGTAATTTTCCAGCTGACCTGAAATTTCCCCTGACTTCTGACCTCTTTCCTGGAGGAGAGGGGACACCAGCTCAGAGACCCTGGACTCCACCCTAGTCTCTCTGCTGGCCACAAGAGGGTATGCCAAAGACTTTGGAAAGCCATCGTTAGGAGGGTCCCCAGGTAGAGGTGTGTGTGCTCCAGGGAGGTAACGCTGAGACAGTTTTCAAGTTAAACTTGTTTAGTGACTCAGAAGGTAAATTCTTGATTTTTCTCTTCTCAACTCTCTCTGGCACCTGCTCTCTGTTCCCCACTACCACCAGGGTGCCACTGTTTTCCTCTCCCTTCTCTATCTCCCTTTCTTCTCTGCCTCCCTCTACCTCTCAACTGGAAGGTGCCCTTAGATCATTAGGTTAACTCCCGCTTACAGAGGCCCAGAACATGGAAGAAACTTGGCCCACATCACACAGCTGTTGACACAGGGCCAGCATTGGAACCCAGTGCCACAATGCCCAGTCCAGGGCTAAGGCCAACCAGGTCTTCCCCTTCAAAGGCATCTTCCTGGGACTTTGTAGTATTCAAGTCAATGATCCATCTAAATTGGACTTCTCTCCACCCAATAAAACTCCATGGAGGAAAAAAGACAAAACTGCCCCCCACCCCCACCCCCCACCCCCAGGGCCAGCCTGGGACTCCACTTCTCCGCCTTCACCTGCACGTTTCTATCAAAGGCATTCTGGAACAGGTATCTGTTAGGACCTTGCTCAACAGCTGACAAAGAGAACACTTCATTGGCAATTTATCATCCATTCTTCCCCATACACACTCTTAAGGAGAAAAAAAAATGGAATTTGGTTTTTAGCGCAGAAAAAGGGATTGAGTTAGCTCTATCTGCGTTGGAGAATAGCAAAGAGCAGAAGGGTAATTCGGGAAGAACGTGACCTCTCCTTTGAAGGGATGGTCCTGGACAGACAGGGTGCAGCTCTGCCTGGAGATCGGGTGGCCAGAATGGCACGCCTGGGTAATGGTCGCAGCAGACTGGCTCCCAGGAGGGGAGAGGAGGTGCCCCGCGAAGCCGGGTAGCTTTCACCTAAATGTTTGGTGGCAAGCGACAGAGGGGGCGGTGCCCTGCCCTAGGTAATGATAGGGCAGTCTGGGAGCCACGCGGGGGCTGCCCGTCGCGGCGCGGCTACAAAGCCAGCTTGGAGACCTCCCGCTTTCTTCCCCTGGGTACCAGCCCCACCCCTCTATCCCCCCTCGCAGCACCCCCCACCTCCGTCCCGCCTCGCCCCGCCCCCCTCCTGGCAGTCCCAGCGCGCATGCTCTCTCCCCCCGCGGAGTAACCTGGAGATTTAAAAGCCGCCGGCTGGCGCGCGTGGGGGGCAAGGAAAAGAGGGGGGAAACCAGTCTGCACGCGCTGGCTCCGGGTGACAGCCGCGCGCCTAGGCCAGGTAGGAGCGCGGCCCCTCCTCTCCCAGGGGTGAGGGTCCCGGCGCGGGAAAGGGAGCAGCAGTGCGCGGCCGAGCTCCGCGGTGTCGCGTGTTTTGCGCCTCGCGGGATGGGGCCGCGCCGTGGCCGTCCGGGGCGCTGCGCGCCGAGCCCCGCGCTAATCCCAGAGAAGGGCGCGTCCCACGCGCTCTGCCGTGGCGGGTGCCGAGTGCCCGGCGCCTGCACGGGTCCCCGCTGAGCTGTGCTTTCTTCCGCGGAGGGCGGGCAGGCAGGAGGTGCCCGCGCTGTCCCAGGCCGGGGGGCGGTGTGGGCGGGGAGCGGCCCCTCCCCGGAGCGCCAGGCCGGGTCGGGCCGGGCCGACGGCTGGCTGACCGGCCGGTCGCTCCTGTTGCAGCCTCCCGCGTCAGACTTTTCTTTGGAAAGTTGCGTTTATTTTCTTCTCTTGTCTGGGCTTCACCGGAAAGGGGCAGGATGAGTCACTGTGGCGCGCACAGTACGGGACTTGGGGGATTCGGGACGGGGGCCGACTGCCGCGGCGCCGCGGGGTGCTCAGGCCGGGTTCGGCTTTCTTGAGGAAGAGTGAGAGAGTTAAGAGAGGGAAAGGGGACGGAGCCCTCTTGGACTTTAGACCTGGGGCGAGCTAGCTCTGCGTACAGAGTTGGGGCTGGACCGTGTGTGCGTGTGTGTGTGTGTGTTACTGTGTCCCTTTTTCAGCCTCAGTTTCCCCCTCTGTGGGGAGAGAAAGGCCGCTGTTTTTTCCTCACCTCCCTGGTCTCAGGTGGGGAAGGAGAGAGTGCTGCAAACGGCAAACAGGTGTGATGTGGTGGTACCTGGGCATCCCGTGCAGCTTCTCAGAGCTGTAGGCCTAAGCAGGCTTGCTGGAAAAGCCCCAGGGACCTGCAGGTTTTCTCCGGAGTGCGGGTCAGGCCTTCCTGTAGTCTTTCGCTCCCCCTAGGCACTGCAGTCCTGTGAGTTGCTCTTGCCCTTGACCTCTGAATCAGTCTCCATCTTCCTGACAGACACTCTTGACCTGCTCAGCTTTTCCCCACCCCAGGGCATGTTCCCTATGCTTCCTCTTTTTCCAAGGGGCCAGAGTTGGGGGTAGGGAGGGGTTTGGCATGGTGGGTACCTGGTGAGGACTCGCCCTTCAGCTGTTACACAGACCCGATCCCAGTGGAGCAGGGACTAAGAATAGCCCAGCTGCTGTCTTGCTGCCCTGGAGTCTGCAGCCGGGCATTGCCAGTTGACCAGGGCCCAGAGTGACCCTTGCTGGGGTCCTGGAACCTTTGCTCAGGGGTGGGGTTGATGTCTTAGGGGCTTCGGACTACCTTTCCTGATGCACTTAGCGGATCTCCGTTCAGAGCAGAGACCACCTTGGTGTGGACTCACCTGCCCGAGGGCTGGGGAACAGGCTGGCCTGTGGGCTGGGAGTGGGAAGGGCCCGGGAGGCCCAGGCTAGACTGGAAGCCTGAGGAAACCCATAGAGCAGCATATTGTAGGGGTAAGTGGAACGTAATTTGAGGTCGCAGGCCATTCTGTTGGATCAGTCCCATTCCCTCATTCCTCCCTTATCTCCTCCCACCAGGCCTGTCGTGGAGCCAGGACTCTGTTATTCTGAAAGTGCTCAGAAAATGGAGCTTGAGTCAGCAGAATGAGTTTGAAGATAAAAATACAGCTGTGGATGAATGTACAGCTGTGGACAGATAGGCCCCAATTTAGTGGGTGTGTGTTAGGGGGAGTTTTCCTATGTATTCATGGAGTGTGTGGTGAACTTCCCCGTCCCTCCTGGCTCCCTGAATAACCTTGAAGGAGGAGGAGGAGTAGACAGTGATCCCTGGTGGTCTCCTGAGCCCCTTCCAGGCCGCTGGGTGGTGGAGGGATAGTGGAGGCCTCCCTCCCGCTCTCCCCTTACCCAAACTGGAGCTCTCAGCCTGGGCAGGGCTGGTCTGAAGACTCAAAGTAAAGTTAACTTGAAGACTTTAAGCACTATCATCTGGACGTCACAGCCTGATAAGTCAACATTATGAATAAAAGCCCAGACTATCAGATAGTTTCTTTTCTTTCTTTTTTTTTTTTTAGATGGAGTTTCACTCTTGTTGCCCAGGCTGGAGTGCAATGGCACGATCTCAGCTCCCTGCAGCCTCCCCTCCTGAGTTCAAGCGATTCTCATCCCTCAGCCTCCCAGGTAGCTGGGATTACAGGCGCCCACCACCACCATGCCTGGCTAATTTTTTGTATTTTTAGCAGAGACGGGGTTTCACCGTGTTAATCAGGATAGTCTCAATCTCCTGACCTCGTGATCCGCCCGCCTTGGCCTCCCAAAGTGCTGGGATTACAGGCATGAGCCACCATGCCCCGCCTGAAAGACAGTTACTATATTGGCTGCTTCACTAGGTGAGCTCCACCAGCTTGGCAGGCTACTTAACCTCGTCCAAGCCTCAGTATCCCTGGCTGCAAAATGGGGATAATACTTACTGTATAGCTTTGTCAAGTAGATTATAACAGACATAAAATTTATAAACATATAATTATGTAATATATAAAGTCTAAAAATTATAGCTTTATTCACTATTATATATAGAGTACTAAACTGTGTGTCTGACACATAGTAAGTGCACAATAAATGTTAGTACCAACTATATATTATATCAATCATTTGGGACTGAATGGACAGCAGTGCCTAGCCTGGGACTCTCTTCTTGGGCCTTGCTCTTAAAAAACAAAACAAAACTCTGCTCTAGACCTTATTTCTTGGGTAGCAAGGTCTCCTGGACTTTGGGGAGTCCGTTGAGAGATTGAGCTTTGGCAAAATGATTTGAATCTGGTTTCCTCTTGTGCGAGTTATTTAAACTGTTTCAACTTCCTCCTCTGTAAAATGAGGATAATAGTACCTACCTCACAGTATTTCCAGGATTAAATAAGCTGATGTAGGTAAAGCTCTGAGCACAGCAGCTGCTTGTAAAAAGAGCTTGATAAATGTCAGCTGCTGTTATTTGGTGACAATGGAGCCAATCATTGTGGTTTACACTTAGAAACCAGAGTTTCTTAGCAAGGGAATTAGCCCATAGATAACTGTATGTAAGCTACGAAGGACACATCTGCAGTTGAACTTGTGGTCCTGTGCGAAGATCACACCAAGATTGGATGTCCATGTCTCTCGTCTACTACTCTGCTACTGTGTGACTTGTATTTAATTAGTGCAGAAACCCCTACCCAGCCTACCTTCCCAGAGTATACCCCTCAGGCTGGAAAAGGGTACCATGGACATGAATGTATATCCTGAGAAGTTAAGAACCTTCTATGCAAACAGTTATTTGTTGTTGTTTTTAGGAAAACTGCATAGGGAGGGTGCCCTGAAATTGGGATTCTGCTCTGTCCTCCCTCCCCAACCCTTAGGATCTTTTGCACTGTTCTTTGGTGTCCAGAAAAAAAAACCCAGCCTAGCTTTCTCTGAACAGTTAGTGGCCCTGTTTGCTGGGCAGCAGGGGTGGAGACTGGACTAGCTGGTACCAGGCCCAGTGTCTTGAACACTGATGCCACTCGACTCCCAGCAGTAGAGCTGGAGTGTTGAGCTTTGTCCAGTGTATTAAGTGTCCCTGCTTGGGCTAGGGAGGGGGGCAGCTGGTGACAGAGCCGTCATGGGATGCTCCTGATCCCTGGCCAGAACTTCCTGTTGAATCCTTTTTTCTACTACATGGTCTGTGTTTTCCCCTCCACGGGAAGAAATCCACAGTTTTGCCACCGGCCCTGACTGACTTGTGGAATCTCTTGCTTCTGAGGCTGGACATGGGCCTGCTTCCCCTGTTAGCCTCGACTTCATTGCCTGTAAAATGGAGATAAGATTCACCTTGCATGGTTATGGTGAGGATTAAATGTGATGTGCATATTCAGCCAAGCGCCTGCACATGCCAGGTGTTCCATAGATGTTTCCTTTCCCCTTCTTTGTTACTTCTGGAGATCACTTTCTGGGGAGCGGGGACCAGCCAGCAAGAAGGGGTTTGGAGGCCACCTCCTGGCACTGTAGTCTGCAATCCCCAGTCACCATATCCAGGATAGACAGGATGCCCAGCCAGAGAGGATACCCTCGGGAGTAGCCAGCCCACAACAGCAGTTCTTGTCTTTCCCCTGTGGTCGCTGTGTGCCCCCCTGCCCCCTGGCCTTGCTAATCTCAAGTATACTTTGAGTTGGCAAATAGTGTTCAAGCTAGGAGTGCCTGGCCCATCCCTAGGGATGTGGCAATTTAGATTCCCACTCCTGGCTCCTGTCCTTAGTGACCGGAGCACCCAGGTAGCTTGAACGTGGCCCTGCCTGGATCCCAGGCACACTGGTAAAATCACATCCGACGGGAATCCTGATTCAGCCTTACCCATAGGCCTTCTATTGGGCACCAACTTTTCTCAGGGTCTGTGCTTCCTGCTTTCCAGGAGCTGAAGCACTAGTGGGAAGGACGGCAGTGGGGGAAGGACTGCAAATCCGAGACCCTGAGGACTGTGGGCAGCCTCCAACCCTGGGGACTGCCTGGTTAGAGCAGTTGAGATACAGCGGGGAGAGGAGATACTTGACTGCTTGGTTT